ACTTTCCTTACTGCTCCCAGAAAATGGAAATGCCTTGAAACTAATTAAATAGCAAATAGAAATATTTAGATTCAAATAAAAATGTTTCTGTTTCCTTCGACCAACAATTTGCTGTCTGCCCTCTTCGAATTATTTATGTACTTCTCTTAGTAATTACAACAATTGCAAATAAACACGAGAACAAAGTTTACTCTTAACTGAGCCTGTTCCAGGAGTTCCGATAATGGGGACGGTGCAAAGTAAAGTGAGGAGAAAAAAAAATTAACAGCAAGGGGTGTATTGGAACGCTTGTAAAAGGCCATTAATCAGTAGCTTATTAGCATGTATCACATCAACTATTGTGCACAAGTTACTGTGGTCAACGTACAGGGAAGTTGATTGGCATTTGCTTCATTCAAGGCAATTTTAAAAAATTCGCACTGCGAAGAACTTCTATCATTATACTGTTTTCAACCCAGAAAAGTTAACGCGGTTGTTAATATCTCTCTTGAAGGAGATTAATCCCTCCCACGATCGCAAAATCATAAAACTCGGCTTATAACATTTTAGTAACCTGTTTTCGTCACTGCAACATTTTCGCTAAAAGCCGTAGAAGAATTACAACGACTATCGCGCTTTCCCGCCAAAAATGACAGTGGGATCACGCCCGCGTACTTCTTAGTACTGAGAACTGATTCACGTAGTCGTCCTCTAGAAGTCTCTGTTATAATATATTTACCTCAAGTAGAGAATCTTACCGGCTGTGACAGGTATGTTTGGCATTACTATAGTTCGTAGTGTTTGGTTTCTAATGTCCGGCACAACGTGTTCGTTCAAGAAGTCCTTGATCGTGGCCAGGCCCGGCCAAGGCATTTTTACAAGCGCCAAATCCTTTGTAAGTTTTGAATGAATTGCTAACCGGCCTTAGTGGAACGTCTCCTGTTCCGCATATTATACATCTTTCAAAATATTTCGCCGTTTCTATTTCGCTCCAATCCCCCGGCTAATTCTCCGTAACCCGCCAGCTGATGCTTACCATATTTGGAAGAAAGTCCGTCGATTCGATGGAGTATTGTGCCAAATAACTCATCGATCCACCTCGTTTCTTGGCGAGGCAGCTTAGCTGTTTATGCCTGATTGAATTAAAATAATGGCGTTCACGCTCATGACTAAAACTTAACGGAAGAAATGCAAGAATACATATAATACACGATGGGTTTTATCTCTTTTTTTAGGTCGGCAGTTGTGCAAGAAAAAATCATCTGTTTATTTCCTGCAACTGGCCGAAAAATAGGCCAATACTTTTTTATACAAATTTCAACAATTTATTACATTACAGATAAAAAAAGAAAAAAGACAGAAAAATAATAGTGCATAGTGCAAAAAAAGGAAATAAACAGTGGTATACATCAGTAATCAAAGTACATTAATTTTGTAAAAAGCGGAGTCAATGCTTTATGCTCAAGCCTTATGCACATCTCGGAGGCTGATAACATTCCCCGCGATCTGCATAATCAAGCCTCATTGCTAAAATGTTATCTACGGTTTAGGTTAACGTTCTCTTACATCTGTTTTCGTGTCTTCTTTGTATCCAAGGTTTGCTATGTCAACATTGACGAGTTCCGGAACACATTCCAAGTGATGTCGGAGTTGATGGGCTCGTATCAGCCTTGCAAACGGATTGGCAACCAATGCTTTTTATAAAAGAGCATTTTGAAATTTGTTGCGATAAATGTTACATTGAACACTTGTGCAATCTACGGAGGGCGGGTCCAATAAAACTTGGTAATACCAACGTTCACCAGCTACTTTTAAGCAAACTGGAGAGAGATTATACGGTGCTTTGAGTGTATGCAACTGCACTCGTGGTAGCAGCTGATAGTGACCACCAGGCCCCAGTTGTTCAAACGTTGGATAGCGCTATCCACCGGATAAATCACTATCCAGCGGATAAGTGTTAGGGAAATCAATTACGCTATCCGCTGGATAGTGATTTATCCGGTGGATAGCGCTATCCAACGTTCGAGCAACTGGGGCCAGGTCTGCGGCTAATCTGACTCAGCTATACCAAGAGCCCAACTCACTAAACAGGATTTATTGTGGCTTTCCTGCCTGTGAATGTCTCATATATTTTTTGGAACTTGTGTAGCCATTTGTGGATCTCTATATTTCGAAATACTGCCATTATAGACTTAGAAATTATAGAATTTTATGGGGGCCGAGTTTGCTATAGATTGGTTACTCTATAGCACTAGGCAGAGCACTCAACTTAACCTCCCTCAGTGCCGAATTTCTGCCGCAGAGCGTGCATTCCGCTTCAGGGCTTCTAATTAGAACAGTCCCTCCAATGAAACTAGAAACTCTGCCTCTTTTGAGGCTGGATTCCAGTCTTTGTCAGTGAAACTTGGATTCTGGATTCCAATCTTTAGTGGGATTCTGGATTCCTTGAGCTCCAGATTCCAAAGCCCAGGATTCCAGATTCCTTATTAAGCAAAATTTTCCCGGCTTCCGGAATCCGGATTCCCTTGCATAGGGCGAGCTTTGAGTATACAGCTATTTCGAGAAAGGTTGTCGGAAAAAATGTGAACGCGACAATCCCGAAAGGTAATATGGGATATGATCGATACACTCTTCTTCCTGTCGACTGTAGCTGTCGAAACTACCTTTGTTCCTTTCGGTTAGAACTCGCAAACACATTTTCATGGCCTTTCGTGCCAATTCTTTCAAATTTCTGTGAACTCAAAACCACCAACAATGCCTTTCAGGACTGTCGCGTGCACTTTTTCCGACAACCTTTCTCGAAATAGCTGTATGCAGCTGCACTCGTGACAGCAGCCGATATTGACCACTGCTCTGCGGCTAATCTGACACAGCTATATTAAGAGCCTAACTCAGTAACAGGATATTATTCTGGCTTTCCTGGCAGAAAACACCGAGGAATGTCTCAGAGAAGTTTTAGGAATTTGTGTAGGCATTTACAGATCTCCATATTTCGCAATGCTGCTGTAAGTAGACTTCATTTAGGAAGTTCTAGAATTTTATGCCATAATTCCTATAGATTTTAGTCTAGAGTGGTGAATGGTTGTAAGTTGTAGAGTTTCACAGTTGTAAAGCTGCCCTCATTATGCAAGAAATCTTGTTGCTGTCCGGAAAATCCTGCGCGTTCAGTCAGGTCTGCAAGCAACAATGCCGATCACTCGTAAACACACGCTTGTTCAATAACCAACCTGGTTACCCCTTGCTAGCTGAGATTTTTCATCCTGCTATGTTCCGTTTGTACTATTTGTTTAAAATTATTTGAGTACAGTGCCTTTAAACCAGGGTCAGTCTGCCACACAGCCATTCTTTGTGTCGTCACGCAACGCGGCTGTGTAGCAGACTACTTTTGAATTACTATACTGAAAGTGAGAAATTTTTTTTATGGTTCGTCTTGGCAATCAAGCGATACACTTCTAAAGGTTGACACGCCACGTGACCCTTGTATTATGATACCATGTTAAACTTCTTTCAAAACCAGCCTGTCCTTACCTCTAAGAATCGATAAATAAATTGCATCTACAAGCCACTAGTTTACTTTGTCATACATTTATTCATTCAAAATAATTCCTAGTTTAAAAACAAAGCTGAAACATGCTAACCTCCATCGATGTTAAGTTCACCTTCGATAGTGCACGTTTAGGGTTGTTCAGCTCCGCAAATATTCTCCAAATAGCAGATGTCGCCCTTCGAGTTGTGTTCTTGCTGTTCTTGCCATATTTTTAGTGAGTAATCTGCAATACCTCTCTAAATTGGTTGAAAGGGCAGTTTATGATGAGACAACCGATCACGTTACTCAGTCAGGCTTGTATCCCATCCTCCAGTCAGCCTATCGACTGGGTCATAGCACAGAGACTGCCCTATTGAAGATACAGAATGACATACTAGCTGCAATGGACAATCAACGAGTTACTCTCTTGGTATTGCTAGACCTGAGTGCAGCATTCTACACGATTGACCACCAAGTGTTGTTGAATCGCCTGTACGTGACGTATAGAATTACAGGTACCGCTCTTAAATGGTTTCACTCGTATTTATCAAGCAGGAAACAGCGAATCCTGATTAACGGGAGCTATTCGAGTGACTTTGATCTGCCTCAAGGGGTACCTCAAGGATCATGTCTAGGTCCCTTGCTCTTCACGTTGTACGCAAGTAAGCTCTTCGATGTTGTTGAATCCCATCTCCCTAACGTTCACGCCTACGCTGATGATACGCAGCTCTATATCTCATTTAAGCCGGATGGTTCTGCTACTGAGACGGATGCTGTTGACGCTTTACAGGCTTGCATCAGGGACATAAGAACCTGGATAGTCCAAGACAAACTTCGCCTGAACGATGCTAAGACCGAGTTTCTTATTATAGGTACACGCGCACAGTTAAATAAGGTTACGATAAGTGACTTGCAAGTAGGTGAGGTAAAGGTTTCTGCTGTCTACTCTGTTAGAAATCTGGGTGCTTGGTTTGATGCAAACATGAATATGACCACACATATTAACAGCATATTTCAGTATATTTATTACCATCTACATAACATCCGGCGTATTAGAAAGTATTTATCATATGACAATAGGAAGTCCATTGTACAGGCTATTATAATGTCACAATTAGACTATTGTAACGGTCTATTATATGGTACGCCCGCTGTTCATCTTGGTAAGCTGCAACGCCTGCAGAACGCGGCAGCTCGGCTGGTATGTACTGTATCTAGGTATGATCCTATCACACCATCCCTGATCAACCTGCACTGGCTTCCGGTTACCCACAGAATAGAATTCAAGATAGCAATGCTAGTTCACAAATGTATCTACGGCGTCGCACCACAATATCTTCTAGACTTGATTAAAATCAAAGAGAGCTCGCGGTATCAGTTGAGATCATACCGGGGCATACTCCTAATGGACAATACCTATAGACCAAAAAAGACACTCGGGGATAGGGCGTTTGAAAATGCTGCGCCCAAAGTATGGAACCGACTCCCTCTAGAAATTAGACAATGTCAATCATTGAACATTTTTAAAGTTTTACTAAAGACACATCTTTTTAAATTAGCTTTTTATTAGTTCTTTTATTAACTCATATTTTACTTTTATTGTTTTCCGAATTGTAAATTATTATTATTATTATCATCATTATTTGGATTAGCCATTTATTACTTTAAGATTTTAGTGTTGTAATGCGCATTCGATCATATCTTTATGGCATGCTAGACTGCGCAATATAAGAAATAAACATTATTATTATTATTATTATAATTTCGCCTAGTCCTTACTCTAGAAACGAGTGAACTGTCCGCCTTTTTTTGTTTTCACAACCAAAACAACTCAACCTCGTCCCCAGGTCTTCTCGGTTAACTGTGCATTAATCTGCAAGAACACTGCATTTTTGACGTCACAGAACACTGAGGGTCGTGGGTTCGAATCCTATCTGGGGCTCAGATTTTTTCTGTGTCCTCTCACGGTTGATTCTTTAAATCTCCCTTTATTTCCTTTATAACATTTCCTCGTTAAACATAAAATTCTTCCAAATTTGGTCATCACTAACTGGTTATGGGGAATTATGCGTGTGCTTTTAGCCAATCAGAATCGGGGAAATATTTTGAATGAATAATAATATGAAACACTCCTGAAAACTTACTTGGTCACAAGAGAATCAGGCTAGTTTTGTAAAATTGTTAATCTTGCCGTGACCTACTTATCGATAACTTTTCTCCGATAAAGTAGAGATAAGTCTCATGTTTTTCCAGCGGTAGCTCTTTAAGAACGAATGTCGCTAAGGATTGAGTAAAATTCGAAATGGTCAAACAAAACCTTCCCTCATACTTTGTGTGCAGTTAGTACTTCAGATGAAACTACTTACTGTTGCATTTGTTTGACTTCTAACTAATAAAGCCTGCACTGGGCATCATGGGGAAAGTTTGGGCCAAAAATTGCATTTTTTGGGACAATTTTGTCTTTGAAAATAGGAGTTTTGTCAGGTAAATATTTCAGAAAGCACACCAACAATTAAGGATGTGTTTACATGATAGCAAAATATCATCCTCTCAATAAAAATGTTATCAATTTTTCTCTATTCCCCCCATGACGGCCCCTGTTCATTAGGGCCATTTATACGAGGAAAAATCGAACTGGACCATTTATACGAGAATGTCTTATCTAAGTCTTCTGTATACTAAAACTTACTTTTAAAGTGTAAGTTTATAATACGAAGATAGCAATTTGAGTAGTAAATATAAATTGTGATAGAATGAAGTTAATAGGGTCTACTTACACCAGCAGATGTCACGCATTTGTCCAGGAGGTCTGTTGTCGCCTTCTTCTTACATAATAACAAAAAATCTTTTTCCTCCGCGATGGACCAAGTGTTTCTTTTTACCTTAAACGACGTGCTCATTGTATTTGAGCGAAGAAAAAAATAAAGCAGAACGAATAGACAAGGAAACGAAACGCGTTGTAATTTGTAAACAATTTTTTCCCGCCAGTGGCCTGCCAGTCCACCGCTTGGCAAGCGATAATTTTCCCGCCAAAAATTAACGCATGCGTACTATGCGTTCGCGTCTTATGTAAGACGCTAAGGTCATAGACCGATTGCAAATATGGCGACGATCTCACCAAAGCGAGGCTTTTCGGTAGCAACCGTTGCTAAGGGCTGGTCGCTTGTTCAAATGATAATGCAAGTCCGTTACTATCTTGTTGTTTTTTCACTCTGGAAACAATAAAAAACTTTCAAGAAGAAGTCATCGTCGCTTTGTTGTGTTAAAATAAAGGTCAGTGCTTTTTACTTTGCCTATATTATTCAAATCGGAACGTAGATGATAGGAAAAAATCACGATTGCGATGTACTCATTTCCGACTTTGAACTTGAACTTCTTGAAAATGGTTTAGACTCAGTTTCACTGTATGTTCTCTTTACCGAACAGTATTAAGTTCATAATGGTTAGGCCCGTGGAAAAGATGCATGTGAAGGAATTAAAAGAAATTCTTGTAAGGAAGAAAGTGAGCCTGAAAGGACTAACAGTGAAGGCCCAACTTGTTGCAAAGTAAGCCGGCAGCGTTTTTAACCCTGTGTTTTATTAAATACACTTGACACTGACTTGAAAACCATTAAATGTACCTTTGTCTTTTGTCTCATTATTTTTTTCTGTCTAACTGATTGCAAGTTTAAAATTAGCGTCCCTTGTTGATTTTTTTTGTGCAGAGTGAAGGAAGTACTTCAAATGTGTACAGATGATCGCGAGCAAAATGATCAAAATAATCAAGCGACCGCCGCTGCACTTTGTGCTCGAAGCAAAAAGAGCGACTCAGATCTTGTTAGGGAGAATGAGGAAAAGTTTAGATTTTGTCCCTCTGAGAAGAATATGGATCAACTACTGGACGATCTTCCTCCATTCACGTATACCATTGTGAAATATGTCCGAAACTCCGGTAAAAACATTCAGTACATGGTAATGAAGCCTTTTGAACGTGGTGTCAATTTTTTTATTGAAGGATACCTTCATAACGTCGGGGCCAAGAATCACAAAGAGAGCAAAACCTTTTATTTCAGAGCCCTTTGCTACCGAAGTCTACGGAAAAGTGAACCCCCACATAAAATAAGATTAGCGATCTCAACAGAGCAACCTTGCTTCATCCTGCACCTGTGTCGCTGGATCTTTGGGGTTTTGTAATCATGCCGTAGGCCTAATGTGTCTAGTTTCCCACTATTTCATGACAAAAGCTAAAATGATCCCCGATGACTTGGTTTGCACCTCCCTTCCACAGCAGTGGCATAGGCCTAGAGGGAAAAATATATCATCGGAGCCTTTGATGGAAATAATTTTCAAAAAACCTAAGTTAGGCACGACATGTACAGGTGAGACTACCTCAGTTTCTGTATCCCCTGGTTTTACTTGTTCACTGTATCCTGCAATCAAGGCAGCCCCAACTAATGCAGAGATTGAGAGCTTTAAGGATGATTTAAAGAAGGTCAACAAGAACTTTGGCCTCAGTTTGTACATGAATGCTGGAAGTGAGAAGGTACCTACCAGGGCAGGTCTTGCACCCTTGGGAGGGTATCTCAGTTATCAAATGGCACCCACTGAAGGGAACTTTAAAGTGACGTGTAATGTAGACTTATCTAAGCAACCGGCTAGCAGTGAAGATGTCCCTAGAACAATTTACCCTTCTTTCCCGTTATCTTTGGTTTCCCCCTTGTTCATCGTCACTCAGTGCTCTTCAGAACATAATCAATTTTATGACTCACTAAGAATCAATGAAGAGAATACTGCAGATCTTGAAAGGGCGACACAATCACAACGAAACAGTAGCCGCTGGTGGACTGAAAGGAAACCAAGATTGACAGCGTCGACATTTGGAGAAAGTTTAAGTCGAAAATCGATTCCCAGCCCGTTTCTGAAAGGCCTTGTTAGCGATCAAAATGCGCCTGTCGACTCAAGAAATGTACCAGCTCCCCTAAAGCATGGCATTGAAAATGAAAGCAGGGCCCTGAAACAGTATGAGAACTACCTTGTAAACAGTGGACATCCCGTAAAGACCTTTCCATCAGGCTTTGTTGTAAACCCTGCCTTCCCCTTCCTCGGTTGCTCACCTGATGGGAAGGTTATTGACGTAACAGAGAATCGCCCATACGGGATCGTTGAAATTAAATGTCCGTACAAACACAGGAATGTCACTCCTGAGACAGCATGTGCCGGTGACAGTCAATTTCATCTTGAAAAAAAGGATGACTTTCCATCGCTTAAGACGACGCACAAATATTATTATCAGGTTCAGAGGCAAATGGGAATTACATGGGCTAAGTGGTGTGACTTTGTCACTTATACATTCAAGGGGATGGTCATTGAACGTATTTATTTTGATCCTGAATTTTTTGCTTCTATGCTGTTGAAATTGGAACAATTTTTCTTTAAGCACTATGCTGCATATTTCAAGGCACAAGCAGTGCCAGCTGGAGCATGTGCTGTAACAACAGCGTGCACCGTTTTAACTGCTACTACAACAGCTACAGGCAGTATAAGCACGTCCTAAATAATAGGTCCACTTAATTTTTGACAAGAAGCATGATCTGAACTATTTAAATGCAGCGAAATATTTGCAAACAATATTTTGTATACTAAACTTAAACCGTTTAATAGCAAGTATTCCTGTGTACGTTCTCCCCTAGACAATAACTCAACTTGAGTTTTCATTAGTGTACCTGTACTTGTACACCTCTTTACAATACATGCTATGAAATAATTGGATTTTGCATGTTTGTCAGCACAGCACAAACAGTCCACATTTGATTTAGACTACCAGCTAAGGACAGTGGAATGACTTGATTAAAAATTTGGAAATTCTTTACTTTGTTTATCGCTCTTTCCACGTGAATACGCTCGGACGCAATTTCCTGAGTCGCAATAACTTCTGAAGGGGTCTGTTGACTTCTTAAACCAAGAAATGGGGGGATATTCAAGCCAACACCAATGGGCTCCAGAAGATCTGAAATAGTGAAGCCTTTGTCAGCCATTACTACATCACCACGGGAAAAAGGTAAGCTGAGTAGCCCCGACCTGGCAGTTAACTCTCTATCTGAAATGCTCCCAGCATAAAGTTGCGAAATGAATGTTATATGGCCACTCGGTGCAATGCCAATCAAACCTTTAAATGTCGTATGACTCTTGTACGTAGAGAAAGTTTCACTATGCAGAACCAAAGAGGAAGGGGTTTGACATTTGATTTCTGTCCCATCAATAATAACCCTTGTTTTGGGGTACTTATCCTTGAAAGACTGGGGCTTTGCTTTATCTATTGTCTCTCTGTCTGGCCAAATGTTGAGGTGACCGAATTTTAAGTACAGAAAATTGATCCAGGATATGCAAATTCTGTTAATTGTAGATACATGCACCCTGAACCTATGGGCCAAATCAAGTTCAAATAATCCAAGCCTCATTCTGATAAGGACGATAAAAAAACTCGTCCAGAGTACTTAGTTTCCGACGTCTGCCGGGTTTGTTTCCCCGGTTAATCTCATTGGTTGGAAACGCCGGAAACTCTAACTCGTCGTTCGCACTAGTGATGTAAACAATGTTCTCACCATTTTCCGCTGGATTTAAGAAATTGTAGCAAGCCAGTAGTGTTTGATAATTTGGGAAGCCGGTGTAAAAGATGATGTCCGAGTCTTCACCCATAAATTTTGTTATTCCAAACTGGTTTGCGAGAAGTTCATCGACAGTTTTCGAAAGATGTTTATTGTGAAGTTGGAGCATATTTTTTTCTTGTTCAAGTTGAGCAATGTGCGTACGTAACTGGCTGATTTGATCCACATCACTTTCCGAGTTGCGGTCATTTTTGCTACTGCAGGATGGCTTCTGATCATGAGCTACGAATCGCTTGGTGACCTCTTACGTGGTGATTTTCGCTTAGGGGATGCTGCCGACCATGAAAAGATAGAGGGAATAGTATCGTCCTTTAAATATCGACGACCAGTCAAGGTTACACGAAAATCAGTTATCTTGAAATGCAAGGAGCAGATTTTGGTTCGTTCAGTTATCTGAAATGCTGGAGATACGTCTCGTCGAATTTTTACAAGCCACTCCTGAAATATATGTCGTATCGAGAAATATCAGAAATCTGAAACGATAGGTTTAATGAACGATAATATTGAAAGTAGTACCTTCAGTCTTACAGCATCCGATGGAAGGCAATGATACGTGATCTTTTTCCCATCCGGCCCTACACGATAACCACTCTTACAGCACAAAGGCACGCAACAACTATCCGGCATGGTAATATTTATAAATGTACAGCAAAAATGGCATGCAATCCAATTCTAAAATTTGAAGATCAGCTTTTAGAATGATAATTACATGTGAACCTTAAATACAATGAATGAAAAATATCAGGCAGTCAAAGTATCGCGATCGCTACAAATGACTCTGTCTGTGATCGCTGTGCGTCAGTTGATCGTTCAATTTAGCATAGAAAAACAGTATCCATAGCGTGTATACCAGATTGAAACCTTTTTCAGCGAAGAAAATTGACTTATTTTTGTCGAATTTAAAGGAAAAGACGTCTGAGAAGCTGCAGTCTTTCCAGCAACGGCACGGGTAAACACAGCAACCAGCCCTTAGCAACGGTTGCTACCGAAAAGCCTCGCTTTGGTGAAATCGTCGCCATATTTGCAATCGGTCTATTTATATGAAGTTTTTCTCGTCTTAGCTAAGACGAGTCTTATCTAAGAACAGATGTTAAGGGTTGTTCTAAAATAAGATGCGTCTTAGCTAAGTCGCGTCTTATTTTAGACGAAATGTGCCGTTTACACGGAAAGTTCGCGTCTTAGGGGGTGTTTACACGACACCGGAGCGACTTTCGCCTAGAAGCGAGTTCACTCTGGTTCCCTCTCATGGCTCTACATTTGTTTACATGATACCACCACAAGATGTCATGCCGGCGCGAGTCACCCCGGCGTGAGTTCACCCCGGTTCTTGTACCGGGGCGAGAATTTCACTCCGGTACGAAATCTCTCAACGGTATCATGTAAACACGAAACGTCCACCCGTTTCGGCGTGAAATCAGTCTCCCGGTAGACTGGAACGGGTAGCGCATCCGTAATGTTGCGATTTTGAGGGTCGAGGGTCGAGGGTACCATGTCGAGGGTAATTTTTTTTTTAAATTTTTTTCAATGTGTTGTTGTTGTTGTTGTTCTTTAATTAAAATAGCACGTGGACATTCGAATTCGCTTAAAAGCAAAGAACCTTTTCCCTTCCTGTGAAGGTAGATAGGTTGTACCTAGGCCTATATTTCAGTCACGTCTGCCTCTTCTCTGCCTTGCTGTGCTGTTCAGTGGGGTAGTTTGAACCCGGGGGGGGGGGGGTACTCCCATATATGGGCTATATAGGAACGTGCCGCGGAATAGGGTATGGTTTTTGAGGTTCTCGGTCCTTAAATGGGGTATCTTTTTTGACCCTTTTGTTTCTGTGTCCCTGGTGTGGTCCTTAGATAGGGTAGCTTAATTGTATTATCTAATACTGGAGTGTGAAAACGAGACAGACACCTCTGATTTCTGTTTGAAATGCACAGAGTGTAGGTTTTTGTCGAGGGTCGAGGGTAAATTGTCGAGGGTACTTTTTTATAGTGTTTTTTTTTTTAACTTTGGTCGCAAGATTTCCCGCCTTTCTGGAATTTACCGATCAAATGGCAGTATGTTAATACACGCATTTCCTCTTTTCGGCCCCTCTTATTTCACTTTCACGTATCTGGGGAACGTCGGCATATGATTTCACTTGTCTGTTTCGCTTGCTATAAATTTCGTTTGTTCGGATGTGTTTTCTTTTAAAGATGTTCTATTTGGAGAAAACATTAGAAAGGTTAGGGTTCGAAGTAACATTTAATCCGCCGTGTAAAATGCCAAGGGCACCCAACGAGAATATAGTTCGAAACCACTTAAACATAGCATTGTTAAACGTATTTTAGTATTTAAACCGTAGGTATAGGCATATTTTTATCCCCTAAAGATTTTTCATCTGTTCGGATTTCCTAGCTGAAAGTCTAGTGATCCGAAAATTCAAGTAGGGACCAAAACTTACCTTTTCGAAAATTCCAGCCAGAAAAAAGGCTCCCGAAAATTCTAGGTGACCTTTTTAGGGTAAAAATCCGTTTAAAATAGGCAATTATACCATTGTTTTAGATGTTCGAAAATCCTAGGAGAGGCAGGCAAGCAAGAAATTTTACAACAAATGTTCCGAAAATTCTAGATCTCAAATCGTTTTCAGAACAGATATGTTCCGAAAATTGTCGTTGGGTGCCCCTGAAATGGGGTTGACAGGCCTATAAACTCCGTGTTTACACAGGGAGCCCGCACAATGTGTGTGTAACCGAGTGTTAATAGTAAATGTACTGGATTTACCGTTTGCTTCACCTACAGCGACAATCGCAAAGTATGTATATAAATCAATGTTAAATAAACGTTGAATTACCTTACCAGTGGTATGTCGTCGTCCTTTTGCGTCAAAAGCGGTTTTTTGAGCGACTTTCAAGGATTTGAAGTTCGCCGTCTACTGTTTCTATTAGGGAGTTTAAGATACGGAAACTGCGGACCACGAACTACGGCTGGACGAGCGTTGTCCTTTGTTCGTAGCACTGGGTTGAGTCGTGCAAATATAGAACGTTAAGATTTCACTACTACAGACAGTAGACTACGACAGAAGAGGCGGAGAGGGAAACAACACGCAAAGATTTTCTTGTTTTCATCACAGTTCACAAAAATGCAAGTCAGTTTTGCATGTGGTCTTATCGTTAGAACAATGAACAAATTCTTCCATACTTGAAGGAAGCAATTACGTCGGGTGAAATTGGTAAACAAAGTTTTGGTTACACAGGTTTTATTTTTTCGCCCATGAATACTTATGTCAAATATTAAAGATATAAACAGAAATAGTAATAGCTCATTTATTAGATTTAGAAGATGGACTCCTCCGACTGCTGATCTGATGTAGTTTGAAGTACTGAAATGCCGAGTTTCGATTGTCTCGAGCATGTTTACATCATTTTCATTCAGCAAATGGCGCGATACAAAAACTCGCATAAATAAAGGTTACACAAGTACAAAGACTCACTAATCAGTTCGAACAAACATTGAAACTTTTCAAGTGCGAAGAGAAAGTAAATTACCTGCATGATTTCTCTTCTCCTAGGCCGTCAATCTGAATTCTGCGTATAAACAGCTAAGCTTATTTAAACATGAGCTTAGCTAGATAAAAATGTAGTCACAACAGTGGATTAAAAGCGTAAATCTGAGCAGAAATTCAGGGGCACCCAACGACAATTTTCGGCAAAATATCTGTTCGGAAGAAGATTTGAGATCTAGAATTTTCGGAACATTTGTTGTAAAATTTCTTGCTTGCCTGCCTCGCCTAGGATTTTCGAACATCTAAAAAATGGTAAAATTGCCCATTTTCAATGGATTTTTACCCTAAAAAGGTCACCTAGAATTTTCGGGAGCCTTTTTTATGGCTGAAATTTTCGAACAGGTAAGTTTTGATCCCTATAATTTTCGGATCACTAGACTTTCAGCTAGGAAATCCGAACAGATGAAAAATTTATAGGAGATAAAAATATGCCCATATCCACCGTTTAAATACTAAAACACGTTTAACAATGCTATGTTTAAGTGGTTTTGAACTATATTCTCGTTGGGTGCCCCTGGAAATTAGACGCAACTTACATATTTCGCTTTCCTCTCACTTAAAGCAGGCGAATTGAAATCTTTTTTACGAAAAGGCGAGATTCTTGGACTACCGAGACGGTAAAATACGAGCAAAATGTTCTCCGTGGTCCCGACTACGCGAAACAGCTCAACAACTCACCGTAGCCGCAGGACTACGCGGGAAAAATGAACAGTCACGTGGTTTTGATCATGCGTAGTAGCATATTTATCCGTAGCCGTAGTCCGTAGTCGCCGTATCTTAAACTCCCTATTGTTAGAAACAGTAAACGGCGGACTCAAAATCCTTCAAAATCGCCCAAAAAAAACCGGGGGCACTCCCATATGAAAAGGGCGGGGATGCTCGTCGGAAATTTTGAATTAAACCCCTAAAGGAGGCCAATCTGGGTGTGGCCCAACCTTTTTTTGATCCCTGAAAGCGATCATTTCAAACTTTGATTACATAAATCAAGTAAATAAAACGAATTGGAAATACATAATTTTTTAATATTTCTTCGAGTGAAACCCTAAAAGAGACCTTTACGGCTAAATATAATGGTGTTTTGCCCAGAACACCCTAAGCGAGACGACGAGCATCCCCGTCGCTGTTCTCTGTTATGGTCAACGACCTAGTGAGCACATGGCCTAAGCGCGCAAAGTACGTGGATGATCTGACGATTCTAGAAATCATCCCTAGGAACCCTCCATCATATTTGAATTGTATTTTGGATGATATCTCGTGCTTTTCTCACCGCAACAACATGCGCCTTAATCCAGCTAAATGTAAAGCCATGACGATTGACTTTCTTGATTATAATAGTTGCACTTGGCGCCCCATCTGTATAGGCAGAGTTGTTATCGAGCGCGTCAAATCCTTTAAACCTCTCGGAGTTTATATTTCTGAGGATTTGACTTGGGGTGTTCACTCTGACTACATAATCAAAAAAGCCAATCGCCGCCTCTATGCATTTAGAACTCTAAAGAAGTGCGGCGTGCCGACATCAGACCTAATCACAGTATATTACTCACGGCCTTATACGATCAGTAATTGAATACGCCTGGGCT